TCAATATATATGACTTCATTTCAGGGTAAAAAAAAAAAAGCTGAGGATGAAAAGAAGATTTTAGTAACAAAACAAGGAATTAAACTTAAGAGGTACAAATAAGATTAAAGTAAGAAGTTCACAATGTAATTAATTTAATAATAATCTTCTTTCAATGAAAATAAGAGAATATAAGTTTCAATCAAGGTTTTTAAAATCAGACCGGATTGGTCAGTTAAACCGGTCGGATCGATACCCGATAATGAAAATGGTTTGATTTACAAAAAAACCGTTTGCGGTCAAAATTGGTCAAGAACCGGTCAAAACCGGTCAAAATCGATGAAACCGATAGAACCAAAAAAATCACCGGTTCAATTTCTCATGCAATTTTCTTTTTATTTTTTCCAATTTCACCCTCACCTTTCCTTTCTTATACCGATTTTAACCTTTAATTTTAATAAAATTACAAAATTACCTGCCCCTCTCATCAGATTTCCCTTGTTAATTGGACCGGTCGATTCACCGGTTCAATCGGTTGAACTGGTCAAACCAAGAACCAGACCCAAAAATGGTTCAATGATCGGTTCAGTTTTACAAACCTTGGTTTCAATAATATTATATGCAAGTAGAATAAATCAAAAATAAAAAAGAATTGTTTTTTATTGTGTAACTTAAAATCAAATAGATACAGATATAATAATACTATAGTTATAATGTTATATAAAATTATAAATTTATAATTCTGATATGATATTAAATAAGTATGACATGATATTAAATAAGTGAATATATATAATTTAATGAACGGATCTTTAAAGGAAAAGAATTAATTATATAATTATATCTCATATTATAAACTTATAATACCATATAGTATTATAAGTATAGTATCTTCAATATATATTTATGTTTATACCTTTAACACCTCACACTTTCACCAATTCATCGTATGTCGTTAAACAATTTGGATGTCGGATATGCCGAAGAATAATCTCTCAAGCTAAAATGAATAATATAGGTAGAACAACCATTCAAAGAAACTTAAAGTTTGATTGATGGATGATAGTTCCATATATGGTATATATTCTGCCTTTTAAGAGAGGAGAAAAAAATAACAATGTTGGTTTGGATTTAGCTTAGTAAAAAGAAAAGAGATAGTGAATATATGGATCATCAAAAACCTGAGCAAATATTCGTAAAATGTAGTGGTTCTGAAAAAAGGAGGCAAAAGAGAGAGCTACGTCGAGATTGATATTAGGTGTGACATAATTAAAAAATATTCTTGCATATAAAAGAAGCTTTGTGAAGAAAATCAGCATTGTTGAGGAAAGAAAAGTTCAGTTTTTGGGTAACCAAAGAAAAGAAAAGAAAAATGTCATTCTCTTTTTGGTATGCAGAGAAAATGAGGGATGCAACACACGAGAACTTTTCAAGAAGTTACTCATCTTTATACTATTCTAACTTACACTTAACAGTCGAATTTTGATGGAATCCTTTGCATTAATGTTGGTATGATGGCATCCAAAAAAGTCATTCTTTGTGTACGTGAATTGTGCCCTTTCGCTTTTCCTCTTTCAACTTTTCGTAGGCTGAATCGGTTGGTCTTGGTTAGCATAGCATTCTCGAGAGCCTAAAATTCTATTTGGTCTAATTAAGAATAATTATCATTTGACTATTGTTAGTCTTTAAAACAAGTTATCAATATCAATATCAACTGTTTTCAAATAAATAAATCAAACAAAATTTGTGACCACTTTTTTAATGAGACTTTGTATAAATATTAATAAAATTTTCAAAACTTTTTTAATAAAGCATATAACCTTTTATTTTTATTAATTAAAATTATTACTTTTCAAAAAATTTTTAATAAAAAGTATAATCATACACATTCATTTAATTTTTCTTTAATAAACCACAAAAGTCATATACTTCATTAGACTTTTGAAGGATGGTAGCATTAATTAATGAGGAAAAAAATGTAATATACTTCACTATAAATGTTTTGAAAGACGTTATCTTTATTTATAACTTTAAAAAGACAAAATGTCCAAAATTTTCAATGATGTTGGAATGGAAACCACAATTTTCAAATTTTTAGTAGAACATGGGACGGCCAAAGCCAAACCTCTCAAGCTATGCTTGGTTCGCTTTGTTTTTCCCCCTGTGAAAAACAGACACTCGTGCCGCCATGACCATCCTAACTACCTAAGCTAGGCATATTGGCATAGACTCATGGGGGCCAAGGACAACTAGTTCCATGCAATAAACACGTTGCTTGTCTTGCGTGTGCTGTAGGAACCTTACTAAGGATTCTGAGGACCACATTTTCTTTCTGCTTTTGGTCGGTTGTTAGGTGTAGCAATTGCTGGCTGACTATTGCTCCATGAAATGTCAGAGAGCACACAAAATGGAATGTTTCTCATCCATATAACTTAGCATGCATAAGATTTTTTATTTCATCTATCCTCTACAACCACAAAAACAAAAAATGTATACATTTTTTGAATTAGACCAACCCCTAATATTAGGAACATTTTTTTTTATTTAACAATTCTAATTTTTCAGCTTAAATTACAAAATACGATATTTTTACAAAAAAAAAAAAAGAGAGCGAAGCTTTCAGGTATGCTACAAGATTCTTTGATCCTGGAGGAAGAGTAATTAAGGGAATGAGGTACCAGTAGAAGCTAGATAATATACCGTGTTTGGTAGCCTATAAGCACTATTCTCCCTCGAATTTGCAAAATTTTTGAGAGGAAAAAGTTGCTTTTTGGCAGCAGTTTTTGTGTTTATAAACAAGTTGAAGAATAAGCTCCGCCAAATGGCCTGTCTAATAGAAGTGGTATCTCATTCCACAAAAAAATTCACTCAACAAGTGGATTATTTCCTTTTTGTTCTGTAAGAATGCAGGGTGAGGGACAGTATATCCTTTGGTCTTGTGGCATATCTTATGCACCATTGCTTGTCCACATTTCTATGAGGGATTTTCCCCTTTCTGAGTGACACAAAAGAACATTTTATGTCATCAAAGCCTTTTTTTTTCTCTTGAACAAATTGGCTGCAATCTACCTAGAAAATATGGTTGGAATAAAGCAACTCTTTTAACTCCCTTTTCACTAGTTAAAACACCCTCCAAGAGAATCAAATTCTTCGAAAGAGGAAAAATAAATAAAAGTTCATGGAAAAAGTTGTTAAAAATCTTATAAAGGCATGCTTTGTTGCAAATAATAACATGCTTTTCTTCTGTGTTTCTGAATATTCTGGCACAGATACATTGGTAGTCAATTTTTCAAGCACTTGTTTTCAGATTCCAAATTCTACACTACATGTGCAACTATTCACGTAACCTTTATCCATGATTGATGGCAAAATATCGGCTCTCTAAGAATAAATTTTAGAATCAGATTCAAATTCTTTCCTCTAAAAGATTCAAGACGAATCAATTTGTCCTTATATATCAAACTTTCCGAGGATATTTCACATTTTGATATTGATTAGATGCCAAAACTCAATCTTGTTCTAGCATTCTATGTCTTTCTTGCCCTTTCTTTTAAACTGATCAGAACCAATTTGTCCTTTTAAGGTACATGCAAAGCAAGTTTTAGGAATTGTCCGAGGATTGTCTTGCACCCTTCACCCAGTCAATAAACCCCATCTGCTTCATCAATGAAGGCAGAGTCATATTGTAAAGAACAATTCCTTTGCAGTAGGCAGAATAGAATACTACAGATAATGCTTTGTTGGGGCTTGAATGAGCCGAAGTTTTTGAGTTATAGATTATCAATTAATTGACCACTTTGAATCAAACGAAAAAGTATTTCTGTCACCATAGAACAAAAACGAAATTACCTAGAGGCTCCCTAGCAAGGAAGTCGCCTTTTCTTGCAAAACTTTCCATGCAGCATTCACATGTCTCTCTTCTGTCAATGGAGCACCAACAGCAAAACGTAGTATGTATGTACCTGATAAAACCTGCATAAATTCAATAGAACAAACACTTTTAGCTCATTAATTGCATATATTTTTCTTCTTTGTTGTAATAAAAGGACAAAAGCCAAATATCAAAGTATAAGAATTACATGAAGGAATGTACAAGGCATGGAGACAGCTTACCGTGTGAGATATGAAGATATTCCCAGTTGAGTTCACCGCATCTAAAAGGCCTCGGTTCAATTTATTACAACAATGCTCATCATTTTGGGGAGGCAAAAGACAGAAACAAACTAATGAAAATATTCGAGGGGTGACAACCTGTTCAAATGAAATATAATGAATAATTCATTATTAAGACTGCATTATATACATATATATATGTTATATGTATGATTAACTATAAATATGCATGATATGATCTCTAACAAGAAGAAAAGAATTCTGGCCTACTTTCACAAGACAACTTAGCCCTCCTCCTATCTTGATCTTTTATATGTTAGACATCATATGAAAATTAAGGAGACGAGAAAGTGATCATACTAAGATTAAAAATGAAACAACAATGCCGGTTTTGATGTTACCTTCCTACTTTACAGGAGGTGACAAACTATCTTACATGTCACGCCCAATCAAATTGGAAGACTTAGATATCTACACTTACATGGATAAGCCCAATATCAATGAGAATGAGAGAATGAATAGATTAAAATTTTACCATCAAACGATAAGAAAGAAACTTCTGAATGTCCACTGCTCTAGTCTATTCTTTCTATGACAACAGGGCACTTTATCTGGTTGGCTGGGATCATAGGTCAGGAGGTGGGTACATGCATAACAAGCAGTTACCACATAAGTCACAGCATCTAGAGATGCTTAGGGCAGGATCATTGGTCAGGTTAAATATAGATATTTCAATCCTGTCTTAGGAAAAGCTATACAGAACAATGTTTAGAGACTGATTGATATTTTTAACAGGATGTTGCATAATCAACCAAAAAGAAACCAGAAAAAGATTGTTCAATTAGTCCATCTCAATTCTCAATATGGTGGTCTCTGATTTTTTTCAGTCAAAGTGCCTATCTGTTCACTTCTGGTACTGGATACAAGACAGACATCAAGCTCTATAATACCATAAATATTAACAAATAAATAACCAGTTCCCCTCTGAAGGTTCTTAGAGACATCAGGTACAGTTGGATATTTCACAAATATAAAAAAAAAGGGTGTATAAATTATATGCAGTTCTGCAATGAAATCACACAATGAAAAATCTCTATCACTGAAAAAGTGACTCCACAGATGCAGGGGTGAAAATGGAGAAACATGCTTTTATGACTTGTGTTCTAAGAACATTCTATGGTAGAGAGCAATAACTACCTCAAATCTTGGATCTTGAGCAACCAGGCTTTCAAAATGTGCAGCCAACTTGACATGGTTTCTTATATAATCCTGTAGGTTTTCCAAACCATACAGTCTTAACACCATCCAAAGTTTCAATGATCTGAAAACCAGCGCTGCATTAGTAAGGCAATATTCTAGTTGATTATAAATGGCATTGCTCTTTTTTCTCATTATATTTTCAATTTAACAGGTCTGTCAGAAAAAGAAAAAAAGAAAAGAAAAAAAAAAGAAGAAAAAGAAGAAGGTGATAAAAAGAAGAAGAAAATAATGAAGGTGAGTTGGAGAAAATACATACTTCAACCTTTTTATAGTTACTCTGAGGAAGGAATTTCAAAAAAATTCAAAATTTAACTCTTTTCTTTAATTGATTGTGTACTTCAATGCACATACATGTATATTCATACTTGCAATCTTAAGATAACTGTTCATGTTGATTGGCCACTAGAGGAATAGGTATTTTTGAGGCATAATATTGAGATTCACACCTAAATCGACGTCCAAGAGGAATTTGCCAATCTTTGTAATCAACAACCAAGTTTGCTTGGGAGGCCTGAAAATGTTAGTCACATTAGAATACATATAAGTGAATGTGCTGGCAACTTTAAATATTTGAATAAAACAATGGTGAGAACCTGATTATATAAACTTCAGCAATATATTATATTTTGAAATTTTCTTCTCATTTGGTAAAGTCTGAGGTCATAACCATTTTCCAAATGCCAAAGTGAATTGATAATTTCAAGACATAAAGAACCAGATTATAAGGTGAGTTGATATAATAAATACAGGAAGGAAATAAAGATCAACATGTAGAGAAACATGTTGATACCAAACAATGAAGCAATGGCTCAGCTTCTCGCTTAGGTTATTTAAGCTAAACTTCATAAATGCAGGGAAAATAATCAAAACATAGTCAATTTTCTTAAAACAAACATACGATATTTCTAAATCATGGAATATTTCTAAATCATGAGAACTAGCCTAGGTAATATGGCACATCTGATAATCTTTGGTGTAACATAATTAAGATATACAACTCCATATTACACTAGGTTGTCAACATCCCAGATGATGCCAATTTGATTAACCAAAAATGCTGGGCCAGTTATAGATGGAATGAAGTTGCCACAGTTATGTTCAAGATATCTTGTAATCTATAATATATCATCAGCATGCAAATGCAAGGTTGGACGGACAATAATCGAGATTTATTGTTAACTTCACAAATAGGGTTAATTCTGAAAATTATTAACTTCATATTCCATCAGCCTTACATGTATCCTCTATTGCATCATTTGATCTTTCATTTTACCCCAATGAACCACATCAAAAACATTAACTCAGGTGCTATCAGCATGATCATTATTGCATTGGCAACTTTATTATCCCATAGTTATATTGCTTTATGTCAATAAAAATACCAAAAGATGCACTGCTTAGCTTTAATATTAAGTTTTCTTTACCATGATATTGTATAAAAATAAATGAATATAACAAAACTTAACTTTATTTTTCAGATACTCCGGATTTGTAGAGAGGGCCTGAACCAAGGCATTTCTATCCTGTAAAATAACAATTAAAAAACTTTTAAAATCATTACAAAATAAGAACTCTTCAGGTTATTAAAAATCAAAATACAAAATGTTCCCCAAACTCTTGTGTGTGAAAACACAAACACACATAATACTTATTGACCTTATTTTTCTATTGCAACATGCAGACTCTTATGTAATGGCATACCTTCACCCAAAGCAATGAGCAATCAAAGTTTGTTAAGAACCATTTATGTGCATTCATGTTGAAAGAGTCAGCATCTTCAACACCATCAATGTAATGACGGAATTCAGGACATATACAGGCACTTCCAGCATATGCAGCATCAACATGGAACCACATTCCATTCCTCTGTCAGGATGCCAAGCATGCAGACGATTAATAAATTGTCTAACATTATTAGTCTTGTTAAGTTCATTTCATATGAAAGTTCAATAATCCAAAATTAGCCATCTGTCATATAACTTAATTTTGACTGCTTGTCTCAAATTTCATAGAATTTATAAAGATGAGATGAAAAGAAATTTCTATCTTACTCATATTATAGAATTGTTCACCAAAACTTTCAACAAAAATTAGATGTAAAGTCTACTTATCAACCAGACAAGTATATTGCAATTCACTTATATGCCACCTTAGAAATCTCCCCAAGGGCAGGCAAAGGATCAACAGCTGTTGAAGAAGTGGTGCCAACCTGCAAGTTCATGTGCAACCCTCTTTAGCTTACCAAAATTTTAGTGGGCAATGCAATCACAGAACTTATCACTATTTGAAGATAGAAAAAATGCTTCCCACTGATTAATTCAAGTTTCATTATCAACAACTTAATGTCATCAAGTTATGCACATGTGATATGCATTTTCTTCCATACAAACATCTATGCAAATCCTAAAAAAATATGCTCTAAACTTATATTTGGAAGATGCATTTTATTAACAGGAAGAAGACTAGATCAAATTAAACTGATGAATGATGGCAGATTCAGTATCATATGTACTTGAAAAGCCTGCTAGAATCATTATTGGACTGAGACATTAAACTGTTAATGAAGCATAATGAAATAACAAACAAAATGCTATGAAGATGAGTCTCTTATAGCATCTCTATCAATTATTATAGTGGAAGAGGAGAAAATAAAAATTAAATATGATAAGAGGCATAGAGCAAAAGATGGAAAGATGAAAGAAGCTAACATCAAAACATTTTTACTTCTTACAGTAGCACACAAAAAGAAGGGAATCAATCCAGCAGCAAGGTCATGAGAAATTGCTTCATCAAGTAACTCCGGTGAAAGTGCATAATTAGTAGAGGAGTCTGTTTTTAGCACCCTGCAATTTTCAGAATGGATCCCTGCTATCTGGCATTGAGCAACATCATAACTCAATCAGCATGCATATATATTACAAAATGAACCAAAAACATGGTAGCTACACAATATACATGGATTAAATAATGCATGCATCTTTTGGAAAATGGATTTCCAAATATACATGAATCCATGACATAATTTTCACAATGCAGTAGGAAATTACAGTTCAAAAATCTTCAACTACTGCTCAAGACTTATTCCTCAAATATGTCGAGAAACCACTACAATAGAATCACATTCTCAGTTGGATTGAGAGCATTTGTTAACCGTACAAAAGGATCCTCTGTTATTTTTGGGAAGAAATGAAAAGATAAAACTAAATGACTAGTGCCATTAACAGATTCATATGACAATGAACTGATCATGTAAGTATCCATTTTGTCTGAGATTTTTGTTAATCACACAAGTGAAAAGAAGAAGGAAAGCTTCTGACGGGAATGATGATAATGTGCTTAGAGATGAGAAATAACCTGGCAGGCTTTTTGCAGGGAGGAATGTGTTTGATCAGAAGCATAGGCAACAAGCTTTTCAAGTGCAGTTTTTCCTGTCCTCCGTGAAAGTCTATCACGAGCAGCCAGTAGCACAACTAGGACAGCTTCACTTGCTGTGCCCTGTATCACTCCACCACCTTGTCCTGCAACATAATTCCCAACGTAATTCTACAAACTTTACAGATTTTTTTCCTTATTTAAGAAAGAAGGCTGAACCATTTGGATGCTACGAACAATTCAATTAGGAACTTCTGCAAACATATAATTACAATACTCAAGGGAGGGGTCATTTCTTCTCTTACTAATTCTTGTACTGTTTATCTTCTTTCTTCTATTTCATTGTGTGTTTGTTTGGCTGTCCTACATGAATGCGAAACAAAAACTAGTACAGATAACTCTTACCTGCTGACAGGAAGTCTTCGGGCAGCTTAAGCATCTTAGCAAACCAGTCAAGAACAATGACTTCAAGCTCTGTTGCAGCAGGAGAAGTAATCCAACTGAAACCAACAATGTTAAGACCAGCACTGAGCATTTCTCCCATAAATCCAGCAATGCTACCATTAGAAGGGTAATACGCAAAATAGTTTGGACTTTGCCAATGTGTAACCCCTGGTAATATCTTTTCCTGAATATCTGCAAGCAAAAGAAAATTGGATGACAAAAACATGTTTCAACAAAGATCTTTAAAAATTAAGGAAAAAAAAAAGGGAAAGAAAAATATATTTACATAATGCAACTAATTGATCCCCCTTAACAATACTTCTCTATTATTCATTAACAATTGAATAATTTCGAGAAACCAGTTTAGCAACTTCACCGTCAAAAACATGTTGCAATGACTCCGGTTTGGTAGGTGCAGAATCCGGTAAAAGTTTATGGAGGTATCCAGGCTGCAAGTAATGAACACAACCAAATGTAACTAACGAAGAGAAATAGCCATATAGATAAAAATGATGAAACAACAAAAGTGAAAGGCCAAACCCCTTATTTACGCCTTGGATATTATTGTTTTCTGCAGTCAATACCCTTTAGAACTTTCACTCCCGTTAAAATTTGAAACTTGTAAAAAACCCAAAGGTTATTTGCACCTGACTTTATTGGTAATCTGAGGTTTTTTATGGGTTTCAAATTATAGAGAGTGTTGACTAGGAGCGAAAATTCTGGACGGTGTTGACCACAAAAAACAATAATCTTTAGGGTGCAAATAGGAGGTTTGGCCAAAGCCAAATGTCCCCAAATTTGGATACAAAAAGCAGATAAAATTTTCCTTATTTTCTACAAAGACTTGAGTGATTACACAACTCTATATATTATTACAACAATCTTCCAATGATAGCAGTCAGCAAATAGAAAATAATCAACTATGCAAGCAAGAAATGGGATTTCGGATGTTGTATGACCTCAACTTGGCTGAGAACTGGGAAATTCTCAATGTTTTTGTAGTAATCAGCAATGAAATCAACCATCTTGTGGGCATTCTCCCTCAGCTGTTCTGCATCCATGGGCTTCAAGTTCACGTTTATCCTGTTCTCCCTACCATTTCAAATCAAATGCAAAGAAACAGAAATAAACTAATTAAACAATAGAAACAAAGAAACTAAAGAAAGAAAAGCACAGAATTCACCATAGAAATAACATGCAAGAATCGCCAGCAGAGTCCGGCGGGAATTTAAAGAACCTTTTGGGGACTTACATTTTGCTTTTCCAGGAACAAAGAGGTCGAAAACTGAAAAGGGTCTTCAGGGGCCAATGGAGAGAGCAAAATGAATAAAGTGAAATGGTCTAACATCCTTCCATCACATACGACAGAAGTCCAGAGGAAGAGATGAGCCAGCCGCCGATCTTGAGAAGAAGGTGGATGGGATGGATAAGAATAAAATAATAATAATGACCTTTTTGTTTTTAGGCGCCACACGGGGGAACGGGCTGCGGGTTTGATTGGGCTTTTGAAGTTTTTTCTGGCCTATTTTATGTTACGTAATAATATAGGGCTAGTTTTGTTTATATAATTTTTAATTTTATTTTTTTTTTTTTTTAAATAAATATATATTTACTATTATAAATTTTAGATAAATTTAAAAAATTAATTATTTAAATTATATGTAAAATTATATTAAAAAATAATATAACCAAATTTTTCTCAAGTTTTTTTTTATATTTTAATTTTTATCAATTTTATATAGACAATGGTATAAAGATAAATTATTTAAATAACTTTTACATATAATGAAGTAAATTAATACACTCAATATTATAAATTTTAAATAAATAAAAAAATTAATAATTTAAATTATATATAAAATCATATTAAAAGATAGATAATATAAAAAGATCAATAATAATCTAAAATAATTTTTTTATTATAATTTTTATATATAATCAAATAAATAAAAAATTAATTATTTAAATAATATATAAAATAATTTTAAAATAAATAAAAAATTACTCCAAAAATTATCTTTTAAAAAAAATTACATCTAAATAATTCTCTTTTTAAATGGGAATGGAGTGTTACTGTCGGAGATGACACTGAGAAGCTCTAAAATTTTGACTTTGAGATGGGAGTCAGAGTTTCTAGACCGGACTCAGCAGACACCCTACCGGACACACAATGACGGCTTGAAGCCATCAAGAGAAACTGCAATGGAATTTTGTTGGGATACGGACCCATTCCTATTCCGTTCCGCCCACCATTGGTGTACAGCTCCAAGGTAAAGATACATGCCGGATTGAGAGCAAAACTCAGCTATGAAAATGACCCATTACTCCAAGCAGCCATGAATGCGGCATCACTTCGTTATCAAGAGACCCATAGACAAGGTCTCTAATTGGGCTTCTACTTTCTCTCAGACATTTTATCGAACAATTACTGTGTTTTCTGTTCGTAGAGCAGCAACTTTTATTTTTGACTCTCTGGCGGCCATCTGTTTTCTTTCTGCATTATTTTGGTATTCATCTTAAGCTTTAATGCTTATTGTGTGGTGCATTCAATTGTTGTTCTTTGTTTTGGTCCTTATTCTCAGTTCCCAATTCATCATATATCCCAAGCATCCTAATTTACAGCTTTAAAACTTTTATTGTTTCTTTTTGATTTGCTTAATTCAAAAATGCAAAATATGCAATGTGTGTTTTTACTAGTCGAATGCCAGTAATGTATGTGATCAATGCTTGTACACACAGAACGGCTTTTTGTTGACCCATATGCTGGTTGCTTTGTCCATCCCAACATTCAAAACGGATTTAAAGAAGAAACGGAGTCATTAGTGCCTTGCAACAAAGTTCATTGATGACAAGTTGCTTCGTACAGTTAACCATATTGATGGGCTTAAGCAGGTATTTTAACTAAAATAAATATAGGATCTTTTTTGTTGCCATCAGCTAAGGATATGTTGAAGTAAGTAGCTTGACTATTGCCATATATTACAGGTTGTTTTGTTAACAGATGGCATGGATACTCGGCCATATAGGCTTAACTGGCCAACTTCAACGATTATATTTGATATTTCCCCAGAACAGGTGTTCAAAAGGGCTGCTGAAAAACATAGAGGTTTGTTCTTATTTGACTGATTTTATGCAATTTTATGTCTATCTAAACCTCCAGTATTAATTACAGAAAGTTGTAAATCTTGACAATGCTGAATATCTCATAATTGTTGAGCCTTTGGTGAACATTGTTGATAATTTGAGAACCAATGAAATCTGTTTCTTTAAGCTATGACTTCTAGACTAGAAGGAGGCCACATGACAAGCATTTTAGGAAAGAGTTGATTTTAGTTCAGAAAGGTGTTGACAGTTTCATGTACTTAGTGCCATGTTATATATTTAATAAAGCTAAACACATAAACATGTAACCAGGCCCTCCCTTTGTTATAAATATCATTTGTGACTTCCCAAATCTTTATAATCTGTATATCAATGAACTATGCAACCCAAATTTCTTTCCTAAGGCTTCCTTTGGGTTTAGATAAGATATCTGGCATGTTCTAACTAAATTTTCTTGAAAATATTAGCTGTAGGGGCAAAGATTCCAGGAGGTTGTTCTCTTATTTACATCCCACAAGAGTCTTCTAACATTCAACAAATTTGTGCACAAAAGGCATTTTTGGTAGTCACCCAAATATATAGGCTATTCAGGTGACAATTACACATTGTCCGTGGTAACTTAATAATGGGGAACATTAACTTACCTATGGAATTTTATTTTATTTTATTTTTTTAATGCTAGGGACTTCCTTTGACGACCTTGGCAAGTTTTGAAGAGATTTTATTTGCTGTTAGTGGTTTGGCTATGAATGGTAGTTTTTTCTTAGGAGAATTGCCACCATGGTTGGCAGAAACTGAAGTTGGAAGCAAGGTCAGTTGGCCTTCGTTTAATAGTTTGACTTAAAGTGTGTTTTAATGACATGTTAAATGTTGTTTGATGTTTGGCGCAGTCTACTACAAACAAATGGGTTGAAAAGAATTCACTAGCTATGGTTTCTGTGTGGATGTGATTAGCTACAATGATGTTGCTACAAGTTTAGGGAAAGAAATAGAAACAAAGGATATTATAAGAACATATTATTTGTTGCAGAACTTCGATTTTCTGATGATCAGGTATGACTTTTGATTCTGGGTCTCATTTTAAAGACAAAAGAACCACGTTGTGTTACTCTGCTTGTGGTACTTAGAGCTATTTATATAGAATTGCACACAAAAGACATGCATACTTATTTGTTCAAGGATATATTATTGCTTCTGCACTTTAGAAGAAAAGGCTAGGACAAATACAATTTATCCTACGCCTTTTTTTTCTTTTTTTTTTTCTCTTCTTAGAACTTGAAGCTATAAATTTATGGCTTTTGAAGGTTAGGCAAAATTTATGTGCCCATTTGGCTCTGCCTAGAATGATGCTAGATTGCAGAGCAAGCCACCTTGCCTTTGATAACATTCTTGTTCTTAATATTGGTTTTGATGCAATTATTTGAGCGATCTATACCAAATATTCTAATTACATGCTAAAATCAGTCTGCTTTTCGAAATGGTGATTGAGGGAGCACTAGTAATTTTGTATTTTTTTACTCTACTTAACCAGTCTATAAATAGAGGATGATAAAAGGTTAGCTATATTTTATTTATTTCTTGTTGGGAATATTTCTGTATGAATGACGAACATCTAAAATGGATATGCTCATTACACATGAAATGAACTCATGTGCCAATGTATTTGCTTTTCTCACAGATGGAAACTTGGGGAAGAGCATTTCGAATGGTTGAGGAAGAGGGAGATGAAGAAGGTTTTGAGGAGCTGTAAATGAGAAAAAAACTTGTTAGAAGGCAAAGACACAAACACATCTTTCCCCCTGTTCTGCTCTGTTTTATCTCTCTAGCAAAAGTTATGCTGCATCTCCTGCTAATTGTATAGAAGACCCCAAACTAGAATCATAAATATACAGTACATTTTATTTTGTGTACGCCTGATTGCTTTAAAGGTTTAACATTTTTACATCTTGTTATTGTGATTGCTGATTATTTGATGGGCACTGCTAGCACTGGCCGTTTGCACTCAGTGATGACTGCAGCTTGCAGTGCCCTTATTTGATATATGAAATTACGTGCGGCATTTATTTTACAATGTCAACTTCTGGGTAAGATTTAAGAAATGGAAAGAACATTATATAGGCTTGCTCCCTTCCACTGGCAAAATA